AGGGTCTGGTCCGCCTCTTTTTGCGGCCCAAGTTTGGCTCCGCAAGAGCGTTTCGTCACCGCGTTTGGGCGCAGCGTCCGCCTGCCGTCCCTCGCGCTTGTGCCGCGCAACAGGAGGCGGCCCCCGCACCGCCGGCCAGCGCACCACAATAGGGGGCCCCGCCCTTCGCTTCGGGATTTGCCTTTCTTCCTTGGCCCGGTGGTGTGCTCGTGCGCGGGCAGGCCCCGGCGGCGGAAGGGCCGGCAACGGCGCACAGTCTCCGGCTCCGGTCCCCGCCCGCACCCGCGCGAACCCTACCCCCCTCCCCCCCCCGCTCAGAAGAGAGCCAGCGCTACTTCCTCCTCTCGTGCAAGACGGGTGGGGCCCATGCGCGCGGCTGGCCTGGGCCGCCGTGCCCGAACGGGGCGTCGGGCACACGCAACCGCGAGGATTCAGATCCCGCACAATGCGGAATGCGTTGGCAAAGTAGCGCCGCGTGGCCCCCGGAGGATGAGGTGTGCCGAGCTGCGTTTGCCGCTCTGTGGGTTGACTGATGTCCTTATTTCTCTGAGTGGAAATGCTGTTTGTAAGCATTAGGCTTTTGTTCGCGATGCTGTTCGGTGCTGTGGGCCGTGGACTATGAGTGACCTGTGGGATTAGAATCGCTGTTGGCTTTTTATTCTCCCCCTTCCCCAATAATGTGTAGGTAATATACCGTAGAGGAACTGACTGAGTGCCTCACCGGTTCTGCAGGGTAACGTCTTTGTAGAGTGTAGAGTACTGCCTACCTCGCGTAAATACCTTTTTTCTCTTTCCTTTGTCTGTTGTCTTCCTTGTTGCTTCACGCTGCCAGGACCCGCCCTCGTTGGTTTTGCGCTTCCCTATGGCTGCCGTTACGGATTTGTTGTTTGGGAAGCGAGCCTTCGGAGAACAGTTGGCGGTGCGTATTGATGCCTGTTTTCCAGCCACGCGTTGGTTTGGTCGCTGACGCGGCAAACCACAGAGCGCACGTGCCATGCGACGGCGGAGAGCCAAAAGGAATCATCCGGCACAGCTCTGCGCAGGGAGGTCTAAGACTGTTCTCAGCCACACACGCCGCTCCCACTCTCAGACACATAATGTGTGTGTGAGAGCTCTTTGAAGGGATAGAGAGAAGAAAGCTGCAGTGCAGCAACGACGTTGGAGACGTTGCCAGCCGCCCTGGCGGATCCCTTTGGAAGGAAGAGAATGCTGTTAACATGGGTAGAGAACCACGTCTATCTATCTCTCTCTCTATGTGCGTGTGTGTGTGTGCGGAGAGGAGGAGTAGGGAAGCCAAAGGACAAGGTGAAACAATAAATCTTTTTTTAAAGATGGCTTTGCTGGGGTGTTTACAGCAATGCACAGCACAACATAACACGCGTCCCTCCTCCCTCCACCAACACCGCCATTGCCATTCACTTTTTTAAAGTTTTAGTTTTGTTTCTCAAAGCAGCAAGTGAACGGTGGCGAGAGTTAAAAATAGATAAATAGCAAGAGAGAACAGGAATGAAACAACAAGGTAAAACAAAGAAAAAAAAAGAAGAAAGAAGGAAAAAAAAAAAGTAGTTCTTCATAGTAACTTCCACCCATCCACACACACGCACACGCACACAGGGCAGTAGTCGCCTCAACAGTGCGCGTGTGGATGGGTGGAAGGAGGTGAGGCGGCAACGTGACACATGCGTTGAGGAGGGACCAAACACGCATACACATACACACACACACGAGCACGCGGATGAAGAAAGCGAGAAGTACAAAGTCGAGAGCGGTAAAGCAAAAGAATGAGCGAAGAACCAAAGAAGAAGAAGAACAACAACAACGGGTTCACGGAAGACGTTATATACGCAATAGGTGCGTCGAAGGTGAAATTCATGTGAGAAGCAAACGTACATGTATGCACGCATACATCTCTGCCGCACCACAACTGTGGGTGGTGGTGGTGACGGAGGGCACGCGGCAACCCCGGATTCCTCTCCACCCTTCTCCCCTGCCACGCCACACTCGTCGCCCTCCCCGCACACACAGGCGCATATATATATATATATATACATGCCTGTGTGTCTGTGGGTGGAGGAGGAGTGGTGGTGGTGGTGGTGGGGAGGGGCATCACCTTCTGCATTTCGCTGAATCTTCCGCAGCTGCCGCAACAACAACAACAAAACAAAAAGGCAAGAGCAAAAACAAACAAAGAAAGAAAACAACGCAGACACGGCGGCTCACAACTCTACAGACGTGTACAGGCGTGCGGGGGAGTGGCATACACGCGCGTGCTGCAAGCGGGCGAAGGAGGCCGCAGGCAACACGGCAGTAGCAACAAAAAAAGAAAGAAGGAAAAAAAAACACGACGCAAGACACACACACACACCCACACGTGTAATTTATATACATGTATGTACGTATGTAGGCACTTATATGCATGCCTGTGCACATGCGTGTGTGTCTTGCTTAGTAGCAACAAGAGACCGTTCGCAGTGAGTGGGCGCCAGGGGAAAAGTAAACGTAGACAATATAAAAAATCGGCACAAAACAAAACCACACACGTCTCCCCTCCCTCCCTCCTCTTCCTCTTCCTCCCCCCCGGCACTCCCTCTTGCGTGCTACAACGAGAAGCAAGAAAACAACAACAAACAAACAAACAAACAAACAATTCATTTACATCCGCTTCTTACGGATCAATCACTCGCCCACTCCCCTGCGTTGCGCCGCGGTGCCCCCGCACACACACACACACGGAGAGAGGCGGCAACAGCCTTGCCGTGGCTGCTTCCCGCCAGATTGCATGTGTGCGTCAAACCAGTGTGTAGAGAACACGCAAAGGGGCAATGCGGCGGCAGCATAAAAACAAACAACAAATCACAAACAAACAAACAAACAAACAAACACACACACACACGCAAAAACAAAACAAAAAACTGGCGGAAGTAACACAACATCCGTGTGAGGTACACACAACGACTGCCACTCTTCCTCCCCAGTGACCACGCTCGGTGGTGTCTACCTCGCAACGCAGCTCACAATTCTTGCTACTAGTAGTGACAGTGGGAGGCGCACAGCAAAACCAGACGGGGATGGGGAGAAGCGACCCACCGCCCCCCATGCTATCGGCGCACTCGCCCGCATGCCCCAGACGCACATACGTGTTACACATTCAAAAATTTATAGATGAATAAGAACGATTGCGAGAAGAAGGGGCGGACCGAAAAAAAAAAGTATGCATGCATACATGTGTATGTGTCTGTGTGTTGACAGCAGTGAAGGGGCAGGCCTCGTTGTGGGCGACGCGGGTGCAAAAAAACAACAACAACAAATTACAACAACCGAAAAAAAAAAAAAAAAATATGGAAAAAACAAAACAAACAACCCTCCTCCCCCCTCCTTATCCTCCTCCCCTCACGTCTTAATCCCCACACAAACACACACGCAAGCAACTAAACAGCGAAGGCTCCGTGAACCCCCTTTTTCAACTATCTCTCGCTCAGCACGACGCGCAACCACAACGTCCTATGCCTCACAGAGACGAAGAAATCTTTGCGGGTCCAAAAGCCCATGTATACACAAATACGCATATATATATATATATATATATATATGTATATAAATAGAGAGGAAGAAAGAAAGAGCACGCACAACCAGAGAGGAGGATGCGGTGGCGGTGGGTGGGAACTAAAAACAAAAAACAAACATGTCGCAGCACCTCGCTGCCGCGTCAACTTGCTGCCATGAAGAAGGGTGACGTTCATGACAACAGCAGACGCATTTGTCCCACCCCCCGCTCCTCCTTTTCGCTCTCCTTTCTTTCTTTCTTTCTTTTTCTCTCTCCGTGTATGTGCTTGGAAAACAGAGACGAGGATAAATAGAAGTCAGATAAAACGCACTCCCGCAAACGGAGTGGTTAACCACAAATTCGGAGTTTGAAGACCTTTCACCTACCTCCAGCTTTTTTTTTTTTTTGGAGGGGTGGGGTGGGGGGGTTTCCTCACTTTTTCTCTTCTCGCTGCTCTCAGATGCTGTTTTTCGCCATTACTGCAGCGATGTTGCTCCCCGCCCACACCCCTCGAGGGGAGAGGAGAGGTCTACGATCCCCTTTCCGCTTTGCTCCGTTGCTCCCGACGTCTTCTGGAGCGGGTACCGTGGCGATGGTGCGATTGCCGGGATTGCTGGTGGAAGTCCACTGGTTGCTGCTGTGGCGTCCCTCGTAGCGTCGGTGACACGGCAAATAAGACACCGGAATTCGTGTGATACCCCACGTCACGGTTGTCGCTGTTGCGGGAGGCAGGCAGTGCTGCTGGTGCCCTCGCTACCACCGTCACTGCGGGTGCTAACGGCGGCACTACCTCGTGATGGTGCCTTCGTTGCTGCTGCGGCCACTGCAAGGCGGCTTCGGCGGCGACGTGTGTGCTGTGCGGATGCGCCATCGCCGTGCCGGCTTGTCTCACTGCAGCGGTGCAATTGCGCAAGCTACCTGCGGTAATTCCCTTCTGCTCGTAGTGCTGCGTGATGCGGATCTTCGCCTGCTCCATTTTTGCCTCCACGCGTTTGCCAAAATTCATCTCCAGCAGCTTTGGGAGCAGCCGGTGCAGGCGGTAAATTAGATGGATGAGTTCCGTGCATACGGGAAGCTCAACGAGCATCTTCTGCACCACGTAGTTTCCAAACTGGTTAAGCGCGACGGTGGAGAGCGTAGAGGAGACATGATGCGACATTTGCTGCGACGTCGCCGACGAGGAAGACGTGGCGGGCGCGTGTTGGTGGTCATGTGAGGCTGCGATGTTAAAAAGCAACGGCGTCTTCTCATTCGGTTCTTGCAAGAGAAACCGGCACAGTTGCACTTTAACAGCCTCACTGCAGAAGTTCAGGATGATCTCCACCACGTTGGAGGCAAACTTGTTGGTGCAGAGTACCTTCAACGCGGGTCCCACGCAGGCAGCAACTCGGTCCACCACGTGACGCTGGCTCCTGTCATGACATTGGCGAATAAGGTGCGTCACCACGTAGTTACCGTACGGATTCGTGGAGAGCTCCAAGACATGCCGCAGCACCGCCTCCTGTAAACGCAGCAGTTGCTCTGGCGAGGCGGAGTCCATGCACTTCTGCACTACGCAGCAGCCTTGTTTGTCGTTGCAGATGGCAAGCGTCCTCTCCACGATGGTGTCATACACGAATACAACGTCGTGTGGTAGGCACCGCAGCAGCTTCTGCACAACGTGACCGCCGTTGAGATCATTCACCAGCATCATTACACCACGCTGCAGCGCCGCACACACCACCTCCACCTCCTGCCGCGAGCGCAGCGAATCAATCAACTTCTGCACGGCGTAGTTGCCATGCGGGGAAATGGCAACCTCAGAAAGCGAGCTTGACAGATACTGTGATAGCATACGCAGCCTATCCTCGTCTGGGGCAATCTCCAGCAATTTTTGAGCCAAAAAATTCCCGTACGGATTTGCCATCACCTTCGGCAAGCCAGGAAGCAACTCGTTCACAATGCACTGAACCTCCCGCGAGTTGTAGGGAAACCGCTCCAGCACTGACTGCAACTCACGGCATCCATGCTGATCTGAGGCCATCTCCATCACACATCCACGGTGAACAGAGGGCTGAAACGGCACGCGCGGGAACACTGCATCACGATGAGGTTCAGCTGGCCCATCAGCCATCGAACTGCGTCGCCGTTCCGACGACGCTAAAGATGGATGGTTACTTTCCCCATGGCCACTGGTAAGCAAAGGCGCCAGCGGTGCTCCTTGTTGTTGCTGGGAGTGTCTTTGTGGCGGATGCCGCGTACCGGGTGTGGTGTCACTTTTGGGCTCGAAAAAGCGGGTCAAGTCTCGGAGTGGCGTCGGCGGCGAGGACGACTTGGGACTCCCCCACCCCTCCTCAGGAAACATCCACGAGCAGTTAGAGCCCCTGCCACTGTTTTCGGCAGTATTTCTATTGCTGTTACTTTTATTTTTAATGTTTTTGTGGTTGATAGGTGTATTGCTGCTAACAGCGGCGGTGGGATTGTCAGGGCTTTGTGCGGCGAGGTGACACCCTGCAGCATGCCGGACCACTGGCAGGGGCCTCATCAGTGCACCTTGAAGGGAGTTGGAGAGCATGTCATACCGCTCCGTATATTTTGGTTGTTGTTGTTGTTGATGCTGCTGCACAACACCACTGCGGTTTCCCGCCTCCCACACGTTCTCGTTTTCGTTCACATGCGGCTTCTTCTGCTGAAGCGTGTATGGGCCGCCGCTCAGAACCAAATTGTTTTTCTGCGGTGACGACAATCTTACGGCGGAAGCCCCTGTCGCACCGATCGGCGCATTGACAGGGGACAAGTTGAGTAGCAGGTTAAGGCTGCTCAACGGGTCACTCACACCGTGGGAGGCGCTCACATAGTTGTCAGCATTATTGCCGTTGTTATTATTGCTGCTATAACCCCCAGCGATGGTGGGGGTTCTGACGGCGAGACTGACACTGTGAGCGGTAGCCGCCGCCTTGTGCGCTATCCAAAAGGGGGTGGAGGTCGCACTCGCCGTTGCTGCCGTGGCTATGGTGTTGTTTGCGGGTAGAGTTCTTGGCCCGGCCGCGCTGGTGCTGTACGCTGAGGGCGTGAGCCCCGCCACCATCGAGTACGGCGAGTTGGAAGGCGTTTTCAACGGGTTCTCCGGCGACACGGCCAGCGTGCCGGTGTGCCCCCCGCACGAGGAGGTCGCTGTGGTGGTGGTGGTGGCCGCACTTACCCACCCGCCCACCGCAGCCTCCTGGTTCGGCGGGACGTTGAAGAACGCCGGGACGGCCCCGAGTGCCGCCTCGCCGCTGACGTCCGCCGCCAACGAACAAAACGACACCGGCAGTGGGGGTGCTCGGTGGGGCACCCCCGCACTGCTGGCTGCCCTCCGCTCCGCGCACAACTGCCCCAGCGCCTCGGCACTAACGCTGTTGACGTCCTCCTCCCCGTCGCTCTCCTTGGACGCCCTCACCGCAGCAACCTCGGCAAGAAGGGATGACAAGTTCCACGCAATGCCGCTCTCCTCGTCCATCGGCACAAGCGCAAATAAATGTTACTATGCAAGTCCGTCTGTACGTGAGTGGCCTCCCTTGCTTTCTCTCTCCTTCCTTTTTCTTCTTGCTCACCGCACACACACAATCCCGGAAAGAAAAACGTAGGAGGAGAAAAAAAAATGCAAGGCAGTGCAGCAAAAAGCGCTAGAGGTGGGTGGACCCCGCCATATCTTCTTTTTTTTGTTTTGTTTTGTTTGCTCCTTCCTCAGTGGGCAGCGGTTGCGTCTCCCCAGCGCCGTCCGCTGCGTCTACACGTTTTCGTCAATCGCCACACGCTCCTTCAGGAGTTCGGCCCACGCCTCCTCACAGCGTTCGTAGGTGTCAGTCGAGTATGCCGCCGCCCCAGACGCGGTAGATGCCGCGGTAATGCCACGATACGATGACTCCGGCCCCTCGACGCACGCGGCGCCGCCAGCGCGC